AAAATGAGCATCTTCAAACAAATCTAGAAAGCAGGGAATAGACACGAAGTAGCCAGCTACAGTCCCTGCTGTTTAACTTCGATAGCACGTTAGGTTATATAGCAGATCTTGAAACAGGCTGCTAATTTCTACCTCAAGGAGCCGTTGTAGCTTATGCCTAACATTGTTTCGAAGGGCACACTCATATACCTAGAGCTTGCTGTTTGCGAAGGAGAAACAGGAAAAGTCGTTAAATTCCCGTAACCGCCTGGACGGTTTTTGTTTTACTTGTGTCGTAGCTTTCGACAGAATCACACATGCTGTAACTCCGAGGAATCGGGATCGCTTGTGATCATCTTCCTTGACCACCACACCATTCGGGTGAAGGTCGACGAAATATTTTCCCTCCAATTCTAATGTCCAGTTAGGTCACACAGATTTCTGTCATCGGCAATGTATTTTACAATGTCTTCTATAGTGACTTACAGTCCCCACCGCGAACTGAATGTCTAATATACCCTAATGATCTGAAGCTTTTGATGGAGATATCCAGCATATGCCCCTGCCAGCACAGTGGAAATTCCGGGAGCCATCAACTGTCCCTCGTGGAACTATCTGGAGCTCTCAATATTTAAATGCATTTTGGAAGTAGTAAAGGATTTCAATAACATATTTGTACAAAACAGTATTTATGTGTGTGCTATTGCTTATAAATTGCCATGATTTCTCCTGTTTTGCTAGTCTGTTTCATAAAAACTGTTCGTCCACTGTGCGAAGAATCGCTACTCGCCGCCTGTCCCTTTCAGCGATCCTTCATTCTTTGTCCTCAACCTCCATGCGCCCACGAATATTGCGTCATCGCAACGATTGCTTGAGATCAAACGTACACAGATTGATTCAGAGTAATGAGGATAAGCAAGCTTATTCATGAGTCAGAAGAGCATTATGTCGAGCGATCTCCGTCGAGTTCACTGGTATTTGCCAGCAGATGGCCGCACTTTGATGCGAACGCCTCCAATCTACGTACAACGCATCATTCAAGGAGGTCCTTTAGTGTCCACCTTTGGGGTGGAAGATGGCATTCATCGTGTTCTTCAAACGTGAGGTACAGAGCAGCTGTCTTTACCGTCGTTACAACTGCGACTAGCAGGAATGTAGCGTTTCTTTAGTTCTAGGAAATATTCGTGGCAAAAGATTGGAAGGTCGGTTGGACCGAAAGTGTGTTATTTTAAGTATCTTCTGCTGCGTTTTTGTCAAGCCTGCTGATGTCTCTAAATTGCTCTAGCCTCAGAATAACGTGTTACGTAAAGCGCTACCTAGGGGCGTATTTTGTAGTCGGATTGGAAGGGCACTGACCTTTCCCTACAATGCGTCAACGTTGATGCACCGGCTAGGTTATAATCAAACAAGATAAGTAGCATTCGGGATATTTCGCATGTGCGAAGTGTGACACCATGGGCAAGTAACCATGACCCGCTTTTTCTAAACAATGCAGGGAAATACATATACGGCCGCATGACATTTCCGGTGTTTCCAGAATCTATCCCCAGATCAAACAGGGATTTCCTTCACAAACAGCAGCCAGAGCACCATGTAGGCAAATCTGCGTTTGAACAGCTGGCTGCAGACATGGCCACATTCTTCCCTGTGGATTATTTGCACTTTTGTTTTGGAGTAACCAATCGTCTTATTAATCTTTGACGCAATTGCCTCTTGACGGTAAGATCGGAGTTGAAGGCTTAAGTGTCGTTATGCACGTGTTACCTGACGTATGAATTCCCAAGTATGTGCCGTACGTGTGCTGATTTCGACCGGTGGAAGGCAACGGAGTTCCGTCGATAGCTTCTTTATTTAAGTCCGGTAGTGTTACGTGGTATCCTGCACTCGGATTTTATCAGAATTTCGTCAGCCCGTCTGCAGAGAGCTGTGTTCTTCATAACAGAAGGTGGTCATCGCATTGCCTTAATCACACACACAGACGCACAGATTTATGGAATAAAATGCTGCGCTGAACGGAGAACGCGAACTGATGCTAAAGGTACGTAACTTTAGTTACTTGTGCGAAGGAACGCGCAACTGTGGACCACGGGACAATATCTCAGTATATATATATATATATATATATATATATATATATATATATATATATATTTAAAAGTTTGTACGAACGAGTTTTATAATTGATTTTAAATGCGCCCCCTGGATGAGAGACAACATACTTCTGCGCCTACATTTGGACTGCAGTGGCTTGCCCTGCACCACCCACAGCTTCATCCACACACCACATATCCAGTTTTAAACAGATGGAATAAAACTGAGGGGCAAGTAGACGGAAGTCACGTTGTGAAATGGTTTTACCTTTCGACACGATCCCATTTTGGCGTGAAAGATCTAAAAGTTCTCAGTTCTTTTCATATTACCGCCTAATCTTCTGCATAACGTTGAAGATAACACGACGATCTCAGTTTATTTTTCTTGCATTTGAATATGGGTTCAGTTACTGCACGCTCAGTTGTTTTGTCACGATTGCCACTCAGCCAGAATAATATGACAATCACTTTCGTTATGAGCGTATTGCTATTGAATATCTTCAATCTCAATTGCCACAGGCTGTGGAAATCTCAGCTTGCAGTTTTCATTATCAACTGTCTTCATAAATATCATGTTTTGTTTTACAGGATAGGTTTGGGTTGTTCTAACGACAAATATGTCGAATGTATTTTTAATAATGTTAGTATCTTTTCAGAAAAACTTGGTAAACGACCGGTTAATGTATTTATGAGGATACACAACGTTTCGCATTTGACACAAATGCTTCATCAGGCGAAGTGAATTATCTAAACATTGTCATTATATAGCGATCATGGCTAAACTACATACAAAGACGAATCAATTTGCAGTTCATCTATGAATGATAACAGCGGTCAAAGGTCAATATGTTCGCGGGTACACTGTAGTTTGTTTCAGTCAGGGTCAAATGGGGGAAAGAAATTGCCGGTCCGTGGATAATTGCATTGTGGTTAACAATCTTAATTGAACCGTTGCAGGGAACTTGGACACCGATAGAATTTGGCTTTAGTACTTCGGAGTTTGGTGGAGGGTGGGCCGATAGTTCATTCCGACTTGGGATCCATCCGCCGATGCTTACAAAGCTGGCCGGAGTAAGACTGGACGCCAGGCACTGGACAGCCCTACTCCGTCTATTCTATTCACGCAGTTGTTAGCCTTGGTTATTTCTATAGCCTCAGCAATCAGCCTTTGTTTGGCTGATCGTAATCCCCTCCTGATTACCTCCACATTTTCGAAGTCAATTTTATGTCCCGTGTCTAGCGCATGCATTGCTATTGCTGAATCTCTGAGTAGAGCTCCATACTCTAGCTCATTTCGCGGAGGTCGTGATATGTGTCGCCTATGTTCTGAAATCCTTGTACGTAATTCCCTCGCTGTTTGGCCTATATACACTTGTGTACAATCTTTACATGGAATTTTGTAAATACAGTTAGTTGTTCTATCTAAAGGGAGTGTATCCTTCAGGTGCACAAGTGTGGACCGTAGAGTTCGACCCTTCTGGAAAACTACCCTTATCTTCTCCTTATTCAGTACTCTCCGAATCGCTTCCGAGGTTCCTTCTTTATACGGAATACCCACTGTCGCTATCCACTCTGCGGTTGGAGTTGCGCGTGGGTTGAGACATTTCTGTAGCTGTCGTTTCACTAATCGTTTCGGATATCCGCTAGCTATTAAGTTTTTCATCGCTTCCCTCTGCGCTGCTTTCTTATCTTCTTCCTCCGTGCACAGAGCACTTGCTCTGTGAAATAGTGATGAGGCGATACCCGCGTACACGTGCTTTGGGTGGCTTGAACTATAGCTGAGTACCCCATCTGTGTCCATTGGTTTGCGATACATCGTTGTTTTTAACGTTCCTTCCTTCCTATGTACCAGACAATCAAGGAACGGAAGTGTACCGCTCTGCGACTCAAGTTCCATGGTGAACTTTATCGCATTGTCAATAGAGTTCAAATAGTTTAAAAATTCTTCTTTTTTATCCCTTTTTATAATCGCAAAAGTGTCATCCACGTAGCGCCACCATACTTTCAGGGCACCACGGAAATTGGGTAATGCTTTCTTTTCAAACTCTTCCATGTACATATTGGCTAATACGGGGGATATTGGAGATCCCATGGCCAGACCCTGTTCTTGAGTGTACATTCTAGACTGGAATGTGAAATGAGTCATGTCGAGACACAAAGCTATCCCCTCGACCAGTTGATCCACTGTCAGCTTTGTTCTGTCCTCCAAGCTGCTGTCCCCTCTCAAGCAGTTTTTCGCTAATCGTAACGCCTCCTCCTTGGGTACATTCGTGAACAAGGAGGTAACATCGAAGCTGACCATCAATTCGTCTTGTTCGATGCTCACCCCTCGCACCATTTGTGCAAACTCATAAGAGTTTTTTACAAATGTGTTCGTTCTCCCTGTTAGGGGTTGCAGCAGGCTCGCTAGATATCTCGCGAGTTCATGTGTGGGAGAGCCTATGCCATCCACTATAGGTCGCAAGGGGACCTTGGGCTTGTGTATCTTTGGGAGACCGTAAATTCTAGGTGGAATAGCCGACTTCGGATAAATGCTGTACCATTTGCCCTTTCCTAAACTGTCCTTTACGGTCCTTAAGTAACTAGCGACATCTGATTTCTTCTTATTCATTACCGATGTAATGGATTTCTGTTTAACCTCTTTGTATGGTCCCGCGGTCAAATGCTCCTTCATGTTATCTAAATAATCTGTTTTATTCATTACCACTGTTACTTTACCTTTATCCGCTCTTGTAATGACAATACTACTATCCTCTTTCAGGGTCTTTAACGCTGCGTGTTCAGCTGGAGCAAGATTCGATTCTACCGGCTGTTGAAATCTAATTATATTTGCTAATTGGGCGCGGATGTTTTCCGCCTTTTCAAGTGGTAATCTAGTCATAACGGGTTCAACTCCAGGAATTACATCTTCTGCCCTTAGTTTAGATTTACTGATAGTAAAATTCAGACCCTTTTCTAAAACTCTACGCTCTATTACACTTAACACTCTATCTGACATGTTAACAACGCTACAATAGTTGCTATTAGATACTTGCTTATCAGTACGACTATCGACCTTATTATGTGAAGTCATCAAGTATTCAAACTTACGTATTTGCCTTTCCTTCGACTCCCGTCCTCTTGCTGCCTTAACTTCGGAGGCCTTATCACAAAGTCTGTCATAATCAGTCTGTGCCACCGCAGTCTGTAAATCCAAGCGCAGCTGGCTCGCATGGATGCGGATTTCACCCAGACGTCTAGTTGTTAGGTAGATTCTTTGTCTCAGAAATGCTTTGCTTGCTCTGAGTGCTATTCGTGCCGAGGTGTACGAAGAATCCGGAGGTTTAACTTTGAGGGATTTGGGAATAATGTTGTTCTTGAGACACCTGATGTTAAAAATCCGATGATTTTCCCAATTGGCTTCGATGCCTGCTAGGCGCACAAATTCACTCGCCATTTTGCGAACACGAGGTCCGTAACTGTACTCAATATCTTGGAACATATTTGGAACCGATCGGGAAGACATCATTTCAGAAAACTTGGTAAACGACCGGTTAATGTATTTATGAGGATACACAACGTTTCGCATTTGACACAAATGCTTCATCAGGCGAAGTGAATTATCTAAACATTGTCATTATATAGCGATCATGGCTAAACTACATACAAAGACGAATCAATTTGCAGTTCATCTATGAATGATAACAGCGGTCAAAGGTCAATATGTTCGCGGGTACACTGTAGTTTGTTTCAGTCAGGGTCAAGTGGGGGAAAGAAATTGCCGGTCCGTGGATAATTGCATTGTGGTTAACAATCTTAATTGAACCGTTGCAGGGAACTTGGACACCGATAGAATTTGGCTTTAGTACTTCGGAGTTTGGTGGCGGATGGATCCCAAGTCGGAATGAACTATCGGCCCACCCTCCACCAAACTCCGAAGTACTAAAGCCAAATTCTATCGGTGTCCAAGTTCCCTGCAACGGTTCAATTAAGATTGTTAACCACAATGCAATTATCCACGGACCGGCAATTTCTTTCCCCCACTTGACCCTGACTGAAACAAACTACAGTGTACCCGCGAACATATTGACCTTTGACCGCTGTTATCATTCATAGATGAACTGCAAATTGATTCGTCTTTGTATGTAGTTTAGCCATGATCGCTATATAATGACAATGTTTAGATAATTCACTTCGCCTGATGAAGCATTTGTGTCAAATGCGAAACGTTGTGTATCCTCATAAATACATTAACCGGTCGTTTACCAAGTTTTCTGAAATGATGTCTTCCCGATCGGTTCCAAATATGTTCCAAGATATTGAGTACATTTACGGACCTCGTGTTCGCAAAATGGCGAGTGAATTTGTGCGCCTAGCAGGCATCGAAGCCAATTGGGAAAATCATCGGATTTTTAACATCAGGTGTCTCAAGAACAACATTATTCTCAAATCTCTCACAATCAAACCACCGGATACTTTGTCCATTTCGGCACGAATAGCACACAGAGCAAGTAAAGCATTTCTGAGACAAAGAACCTACCTAACAACTAGACGTCTGGTGATGTCCGCCTCCATGCGAGCCAGCTGCGCTTGGATTTACAGACTGCGGTGGCACAGACTGATTATGACAGACTTTGTGATAAGGCCTCCGAAGTTAAGGCAGCAAGAGGACGGGAGTCGAAGGAAAGGCAAATACGTAAGTTTGAATACTTGATGACTTCACATAATAAGGTCGATAGTCGTACTGATAAGCAAGTATCTAATAGCAACTATTGTAGCGTTGTTAACATGTCAGATAGAGTGTTAAGTGTAATAGAGCGTAGAGTTTTAGAAAAGGGTCTGAATTTTACTATCAGTAAATCTAAACTAAGGGCAGAAGATGTAATTCCTGGAGTTGAACCCGTTATGACTAGATTACCACTTGAAAAGGCGGAAAACATCCGCGCCCAATTAGCAAATATAATTAGATTTCAACAGCCGGTAGAATCGAATCTTGCTCCAGCTGAACACGCAGCGTTAAAGACCCTGAAAGAGGATAGTAGTATTGTCATTACAAGAGCGGATAAAGGTAAAGTAACAGTGGTAATGAATAAAACAGATTATTTAGATAACATGAAGGAGCATTTGACCACGGGACCATACAAAGAGGTTAAACAGAAATCCATTACATCGGTAATGAATAAGAAGAAATCAGATGTCGCTAGTTACTTAAGGACCGTAAAGGACAGTTTAGGAAAGGGCAAATGGTACAGCATTTATCCGAAGTCGGCTATTCCACCTAGAATTTACGGTCTCCCAAAGATACACAAGCCCAAGGTCCCCTTGCGACCTATAGTGGATGGCATAGGCTCTCCCACACATGAACTCGCGAGATATCTAGCGAGCCTGCTGCAACCCCTAACAGGGAGAACGAACACATTTGTAAAAAACTCTTATGAGTTTGCACAAATGGTGCGAGGGGTGAGCATCGAACAAGACGAATTGATGGTCAGCTTCGATGTTACCTCCTTGTTCACGAATGTACCCAAGGAGGAGGCGTTACGATTAGCGAAAAACTGCTTGAGTGGAGACAGCAGCTTGGAGGACAGAACAAAGCTGACAGTGGATCAACTGGTCGAGGGGATAGCTTTGTGTCTCGACATGACTCATTTCACATTCCAGTCTAGAATGTACACTCAAGAACAGGGTCTGGCCATGGGATCTCCAATATCCCCCGTATTAGCCAATATGTACATGGAAGAGTTTGAAAAGAAAGCATTACCCAATTTCCGTGGTGCCCTGAAAGTATGGTGGCGCTACGTGGATGACACTTTTGCGATTATAAAAAGGGATAAAAAAGAAGAATTTTTAAACTATTTGAACTCTATTGACAATGCGATAAAGTTCACCATGGAACTTGAGTCGCAGAGCGGTACACTTCCGTTCCTTGATTGTCTGGTACATAGGAAGGAAGGAACGTTAAAAACAACGATGTATCGCAAACCAATGGACACAGATGGGGTACTCAGCTATAGTTCAAGCCACCCAAAGCACGTGTACGCGGGTATCGCCTCATCACTATTTCACAGAGCAAGTGCTCTGTGCACGGAGGAAGAAGATAAGAAAGCAGCGCAGAGGGAAGCGATGAAAAACTTAATAGCTAGCGGATATCCGAAACGATTAGTGAAACGACAGCTACAGAAATGTCTCAACCCACGCGCAACTCCAACCGCAGAGTGGATAGCGACAGTGGGTATTCCGTATAAAGAAGGAACCTCGGAAGCGATTCGGAGAGTACTGAATAAGGAGAAGATAAGGGTAGTTTTCCAGAAGGGTCGAACGTTACGGTCCACACTTGTGCACCTGAAGGATACACTCTCTTTAGATAGAACAACCAACTGTATTTACAAAATTCCATGTAAAGATTGTACACAAGTGTATATAGGCCAAACAGCGAGGGAATTACGTACAAGGATTTCAGAACATAGGCGACACATATCACGACCTCCGCGAAATGAGCTAGAGTATGGAGCTCTACTCAGAGATTCAGCAATAGCAATGCATGCGCTAGACACGGGACATAAAATTGACTTCGAAAATGTGGAGGTAATCAGGAGGGGATTACGATCAGCCAAACAAAGGCTGATTGCTGAGGCTATAGAAATAACCAAGGCTAACAACTGCGTGAATAGAATAGACGGAGTAGGGCTGTCCAGTGCCTGGCGTCCAGTCTTACTCCGGCCAGCTTTGTAAGCATCGGCGGATGGATCCCAAGTCGGAATGAACTATCGGCCCACCCTCCACCAAACTCCGAAGTACTAAAGCCAAATTCTATCGGTGTCCAAGTTCCCTGCAACGGTTCAATTAAGATTGTTAACCACAATGCAATTATCCACGGACCGGCAATTTCTTTTCCCCCACTTGACCCTGACTGAAACAAACTACAGTGTACCCGCGAACATATTGACCTTTGACCGCTGTTATCATTCATAGATGAACTGCAAATTGATTCGTCTTTGTATGTAGTTTAGCCATGATCGCTATATAATGACAATGTTTAGATAATTCACTTCGCCTGATGAAGCATTTGTGTCAAATGCGAAACGTTGTGTATCCTCATAAATACATTAACCGGTCGTTTACCAAGTTTTCTGAAATTGATACTAGCATTATTATAAATAATTTCGACAAATTTGTCTTTAGAACAACAACTTCTGTATCATGCTTTTATGAAGTCAGTTGTTAATGAAATCTGCTGGCTGAGTTCCACACCCTATGCAATTGAGTTGAAGATAATTGCAAGTGCATACCTACATAAAGAAAGTGATTGTCATTTTATTCTGGCTGGTGGCAATCTGTGTCAAAAACAACTGAGCGTGCAGTAACTGAACCCATATTTAAATGCAAGAAAAATAAACTGAAATCGTCGTGTTATCTTCAACGTTATGCAGAAGGTTAGGCGGTAATATGAAAAGGACTGAGAACTTTTAGCTCTTTCACACCAAAATGGGATCGTGTCGAAAGGTAAAACCATTACACAACGTGACTCCGGTCCACCTGCCCCTCAGTTTTATTCCATCTGTTTAAAACTGGATATGGGGTACGTGGATGAAGCTGTGGGTGTTGCAGGGCAAGCCACTATAGTCCCAATTTAGGCGCAGAAGTATTTCGTCTCTCATCCGGGGGGCGCATTTAAAAGCAATTGTAAAACTCGTTTGTACAAAATTCTAAATATATATATATATATATACTGAGATATAGTCCCGTGGTCCACAGTTGCACGTTCCTTCGCACAAGTAACTAAAGTTACGTACCTTTAGCATCAGTTCTCGCTCTCCGTTCAGCGCAGCATTTTATTCCATAAATCTGTGCGTCATGTTTTCCACGTGGTTAAAGCAATGCGATGACCACTTTCTGTTATGAAGAACACAGCTCTCTGTAGACAGGCTGACGAAATTCTGATAAAACCTGAGTGCAGAGTACCACGTAACACCACCGGACTTAGATAAAGAAGCTATCGACGGAACGCCGTTGCCTTCCACCGGTCGATATCAGCAAACGTACGGCACATACTTTTGAATTCATATGTCAGGGAACACGTGCATAACGACACTTAAGCCTTCAACTCCGATCTTACCGTCAAGAGGCAATTGCGTCAAAGATTAATAAGACGTTTGGTTACTCCAAAACAAAAGTGCATATAATCCACAGGGAAGAATGTGGCCATGTCTGTAGCCAGCTGTTCAAACGCAGATTCGCCTACATGGTGCTCTGGCTGCTGTTTGTGAAGGAAATCCCTGTTTAATCTGGGGATAGCTTCTGGAAACACCGGAAATGTCATGCGGCCGTATATGTATTTCCCAGCATTGTTTAGAAAAAGCGGGTAATGGTTACTTGCCCACGGTGTCACACTTCGCACATGCGAAGTATCCCGAACGCTATTTATCTTGTTTGATAATGGCCTAGCCGGTGCATCAACGTTGACGCATTGTAGGGAAAGGTCAGTGCCCTTCCAATCCGACTAAAAAATACGCCAATAGGTAGCGCTTTACGTAACACGTTATTCCGAGGCTAGAGCAATTTAGAGACATCAGCAGGTTTGATGAAAACATAGCAAAAGCTAATTAG